CAAACTGAGCTCTCACTGGATAGCCACTGGTACTGTTGGCAATGTGATGAGCATCATCAAAGAAAATGATGAGCTGTGGCACCTTGGGAAGGGGGAAGAGGGAAGGGTTGGGAAAGGGAAGGACAGTACAATCTTAATGGGAAAAACGTATGCAAATGTGGAAGGTGTTAAAGAGGACATCAACATGTTTTTTACTTCAAAGCCAAGTGATTTCTTTAATCAGGGCATTAGCAACCTGGTTGTAAGATGGAAAACCATCATTGATAAGAATGGAGACTATTTCATTTAATAAATGTGTTGTTTTGATATATACAAGTTGTTTGGGTTTTTTCATCTAAAAATAAGTGACATTCATTTCTTGATGACCTAATATTTTTATAAACAACCCTGTTTTCTTCAGACTTACATTAATTCTGGCTCAATTTAATCGTTTTTTTTTATACACTCACTTTTTGTCGACTCTTGAAATATGAATTCTGAAGTAAATGTCACCACTTTGGGTGTCACAACTGTGACAATTGCTTTATCTCAAGCCTCAGCTGTGGTTGACCCGACAAGAGATTTTTCAACATTTATTTGGAGGAAGATTGAAAGTTGCATTGGTCAATCTCTATCTCAAGACCTTGCCCCCATTATTCAGTTCAGCCTTCTATGGTCTTTTCAGATTTTATTTCTCAGGTATGTGATGTTTTATACCCCACCCCTATATCTTATGACCCACGTCTTTCCTTACTCCATGTACATTCTTCACAACCATATTTGGTTTCCCCCTCTCCTGACATTCGGGCCCATGCTGAACAGTTTGCCTCCCAATTAAGTGACAGCGTTAGCATGCCTTGTCCCCCACAGGCTTCAAATCAGTGTGCCCTCATTTATCATCGTGCAGACTGTCCTTATCTCCACCAACAACTTTTGGGTTCTGTTTTATCCCTTTGGGAGGTGGGCCTCAATTCTCCTATCAGTTTAAATCATGTCCAATTTCTCGCCTTTTTCTTATCCTCATGACTCATTGCAGTATCTTTTCACTATTTGTCTCCTGTCTGAGGCTCTTCACAGAAATCCTGAGGGGTTTTCTGGGGACATCCTCTCCCTTCTTACCTCTATGTTGGATCATTTGTCATCATTGGCTGTGGCTTTGCATATATGGTTTCTCTGTTGGTCAGACCTTCTCAATCCAGATTTCCATCTTATCGAGAGCCGGTTTATCTACACTCTATCTCTGGGACTTACGTCTGGCCCCGTTTTTATGGCATTATGTTTTTGATATGATCCCAGAGTCTTTGGAGTCTCATGTGGCATCAGTACAGCAACAGTCAACCTATTCCCATCTGGTAGCCTGTTTGTCTCAGACAGAGCCAAGTGTGGCATCTGTTACAGGGTGTTGCAGCGAATGAAAAAGATGGTAATCTGATGGTGTCATATCTGAAGAATATGATTAGTGGGGGAGAATTTACCAACCCAACTCCACAATCTTGTGTAGTGTCAAACGTGCCACATGTGGATGTGCATTGTTGTGGAGAAGAATACCTTTCTGATTGATGAGTGAAGGCCATTTCTGATGAAGGGCTTGATTTAAACGTTCCAGTTGCTGACTATAGATCTCTGCATTGATAGTTCACTGTGGATTGAGGAATTCAATATGAATTACTCCTTTAATGTTCCACCAAATGCAAAGCATCACTTTTTGCAGATGGTGTCCAGGTTTTGGGGTCGGAAGTGGTTTTTGTCTAGGACTGAACCATTGTTTTTGGCATTTAATATTCGCATAGAGAATCCAATGTTCATCACCAGTGACAATTCTGTCCAAAACTGGTTCACACGCATTACGTGCCAGAAGAGACAAAGCAACGTTCACACATTAAAAACGATGATCATTGGAGAGTTTGTGAGGCACCCAAACACTTTTTTATGGAGTTTTCCCATATTCCTTACATGTTTATGTATTGTTTCATAAGAGACATGCAATTTCAGGGCCATTTCTCGAGTGTGTAACCTTCGGTTCGACTCAACAAGCTTCTTCAGAGCATCAATATTAATTCCAACACAGTTTTATGTCTAAAGTCACCAGAAAGAAATTTGCTGAACTATCATTGACACTTATAAATGTTCAAAACATTTCCATAAACTTCTTTGATATTACATGCCAAATGTGTGTGTCTCATCATGTTCCATCACTATAAGGGATTAATAAAATTTACACACAATATAGGCTACACTAATGTGATGTTTACGTGGTTTGTTTAACTATGATATGTGATGTACGTTTTTGGGGGTGTTTAATGAAAGTGTTCCCAAATGTGATATTAATTTCTTGACAACCTAATATAACCAGTTTTTGAAGAAACTGTATTTCAAATAAAAATCATAACACAAAAGAAATACATCCGAGCACAGGTAATACCAAACGAGAAGTGATAGTTTGGTAGAGGTGCATAGAGGAAGTCACATGCATCATGTGAGTATACTATGCTCCTATTGGTAGAGAGATGATGCGTGATGATTTACATGAAACACACGTTGGAATCACTTGATTCCAATAGGGGGGGAGCAGAAAGCTTGTGGCATGTGTAACGAAAAAGTTCAAATATAGGGGGCAGCAATGAATGAGAATAGCTAATCTTGTGAAAAGAGGGCAGTACTATATTGGAGTTCTGGACATTATGTAACCTATTGGTTGATTAACCACAGAATTCTATACATTCACATTATGTAACAATTTTTGATTTAACACAAAAATCTACACATAATGTAACATAATGGTTGGTTAAAAAATAGAATTCTACACATTATTTAAAACTGAAATCTGCATATTATGTAACAATAATTGATTAAACACTGTCGTCTACACATCATGTAACATAACTGTTGATTAAACACTGAATTCTGCACATTATCTAACATAATGGTTGATTACATACTGAATTCTACGTATTATGTAACATAATTTGATTAAATACTATATTCTACATATTATTTAGCACACTGTTTAATTAAACACTGAATTCTACACATTATGTAACATAATTTGATTAAATACTATATTCTACATATTATTTAGCACACTGTTTAATTAAACACCAAATTCTACACATTCAGGTTACATAACACAATGGTTGATTATTCACAGAATTCTACTCATTCCAATTATGTAACATATGAAATGAAGGATCAAGAAAAAGCTATGAGGCAAATGTAATTACTTAGTGAACTATTAGTAAACACCATTAATTACCCATCTATAAGCAGAACCATTCAGAAAGACCTGCAAGAAATGATGATAAGTACTGCATGGCATCTTTAACAAACAAGAATCCATGAACACGATGCTATGTTGCAAAATCTATCCATGAAGAAAGATCTCTGCTGGAAAATCAACAAAACTCTTGTACATAAGTTACTTCCCTAACATATCCATTCAACTGTTGCATACCTCAAGCAGAATGAGGAATGAAATGGGTACTTGTTCTATTGTAGTCATACACTAATTGACCAGATGCAATGGCTACAGGCTTTGTATGACTGATATGCTGATAAATCATCACTCTGATAAACTAGATGGATTATGGAAAGAATGTAGGATGGAACATTACAGTGTAGTCTTTCACAGTGTAAAATCATCTTTTGTAGAGCTACAATGAATAAACAAAGCTATCAGACAGAGCATCACCAACCATGGAATGAAACAATGAGGTAGATCTTCAGAGTAGGCTTAATATAACATACTAAAGAATTGTATATATTATGGCTGATTCAAAACAGAATAACTTTTATAATGGGATTTTCTTTCATTTTAACACTACAAGGGTGATTGAATTTAGGCACACCTTTTTCAATAATAAAATGTGCTACAACTGTACTTCTATCAATCTCACCCATCACTGCAGTATGAAGATGTTCCATGCAACTCTGTTTTACAATATCTCTCAGTTCCTCTAATATATTTTTCCTTACAAACCCCACAAGAGATACTGTAAACTAATTTTTTGCCATATATTTTTCAGAAGCCCCAGATTACATCTGATACAGTTGTTGTTGTGATAATGATAGCAGGGTTTAAATGTCGAACACACTAAATGAGATTTAAATAAATGTCCAGGCTCTACTATCAGATGTATAAGTACATCCAGTTTCTTTGCAGCATTGTTAATGATAATACTAACTATAGGACTAATAAAATGTGTTACAAATGCAACATCATCTTTCTGACTCCTGTTACTTTTCTTTAGTTGTCATGAATGGTGAAAATTTTGTTAAACAATCTTTCAGGACAACCATTCAACTTTAAAATCTTCTCGAGATCTCCCCTCGCCTCCATTAAATCACCATGTTTATTTTAAATATGTGGAAATCTCATTAATTAGTTAAAAATCATAGCCTTCTTTATGGTCCATGGATGACAAGAGAGAAAATGTAGAAACAGCAGTTTTTTAAGGGATTTTTGTATACATTACTGACCACTCTAGAAATGGCTAGAGATTGTGTGTGCTCACCAGGTATAGCATATTAAAAAATAAACCTGATTTCAAACTGGCTTATGAACTGACGAAAGAGAATTAACTTTTCAAACCATCATTCCAAATCCCATAAATATCTTCAATAAAATACAGCCTTATGGCAGGAGACTGTTTTCTACCAAGTGTCCAGTCTTGAGTTACTTACAGCATAAGGCTACAGAAACTCCATTACCCATGGCTAATCCTTGATTCTGAATATAAACTTGAAAACGTTATTACGTAAAACAAAATCCAGAATTTTCATTGAGTACTGGCTGTTTCTCTTCATAAAACATGTTTACATTCTTCTGGACCAGAAATATTACTGCTGTTGAAACAGCTCCAATGAGTTTATTCACAACAATTCAGCAAACTTGTAGTGAATTTCTTCAGCTTGTGACTACAAACATGTCATTATTAATCATATACCAAACAAACAAAGTCCAGAAAGACACAATTACAGCTACATATTATATTTAATAAGACAACTGTAAAAAGTTTAATTACCTCATTTTTCTCCGATGCTCCATCACACTTTTCTTTTTGTTCCTCTTTTGTTACATCAAACTTCAAAATTGTATGTAGAGGACTTTCTTCCAAGGAATCAGCTTTTCCTGGAGCTATAAGTACAAATAATGTAGGTTTGTTTATAACAAGATTCAATATAATTTATGCTTCACTAAATCATAATCAAGCCCCATATATTGTATTTAAAAGAACAGGCCTCTTCTATAATTTTTTTTACATGATATACAAGTGCAAAGAAAATAATTGATTTTCAGCAATGGGCAGGTTCTGAAAATATACCTGGACTGACATGAACCTTGTCAGTTGTAGTTCCAAATGGTGGTTAAACAGGTAGCTTAAGAGGTAGTTAAGAGAGCAAAACATTTTCCTGTACCTGGTAGAAAAAAGTTCTCAATAGAGAAGAACAGTAATTATGTAAACAGTAGAACATACTTCGAGAGTTAAAACATTCTTAGTCCCAAACTGACAAGTCTAAAAATTCATGCAAGCAGTCAAGTCAGCAGGTACCCAGGAAGAATCAAAATAAGTCAGGTGGTTCTTAGCATGCAAAAGGTCATTACAATGGGAACATTGAGTAAGGAAATAAAATAATATGAAAATTAAGCACTATTACCAGAAATGCCACCCTTTTTGTGCTAGTAATTTTATGGACTTTTGTTTCTGGTGCCATTCAATAGATGGAACATGGATACTGACATCCATTATAGTAATAATTGGTGAACCCTCATCCTGACTGCAACTATGAGACATCCACTGCAAGACAGTCGTCATATCTCTAACATCTCAAAATGCTATGCGTGGATGTACATGCAGAGGTGGGGAACTAGTTGATATTCCCTATTCACCTCCAGAGGACATCACCCAGAAAAAAAAAAACACAAAAAGATTAAGATTCTGAAAGAATAAGCAATGTCTCTAATATTTGCAGAAAAACAAGAACATTTTTAATATAGAATCATCTAACATAAGACTATTCCCCTTTTGATATGTTTATAAGTCTTGCTTTTATTATATAGCAGTTTTAATATTTTTCATTTATTCTGTTTGTATCCAGTTTTAACATAAACACATGGTTCAGAAAACTGAATTTGTCTAGTTCTATATAACAGATAGTATCTACTCTGGCAGAAAGGATTTTGTGGTATGTGCATGTTAAAAAGAGTCCACAACTGCAACATCTTATTTTGGACGAGTGGATGATATCGTTATGTCACATTCAACAAATTCTGTGAGAGAATGACCAATAATATCATGAAGCCATCAGAATAGAATGGATGAAAGTTTCTTGCATGACTGAAGCATTTATCCTTTCTCAGTTGAACACAGTTCATGTGTCAGTATAGTTCTACAGAAGTCAGTCCCAAGAGATGTAAAGCTTTGAAACTATGTTCTGACTTGACAGAAGTGATTGTGTGAATGTCCATACAAGTACAAACACATTTCTTTATACTTTCATTTGTACATAAAGACTGTGTTCAATTTCTCCATAAAATGTGTTCTGTCTCCTTAACTTTTAACAGATGTTTAAAACTCAGTTACGTTTTCAATGACAATTACTCTATAAGTTTTCTGTTCAAACCTGTTGTTATTAAATGGAGTTATCTCATACTCACATCAGAATATTACACTCTCTTTTATTACAGAAATATGCTCCATATCTAAATTAACAAACACTTGAGTGATAAACTGAAAAGTTAGGAGAAGTGTCAATTCAAATTCCTGTCCATTGTAAACAGAAGAAAAAGAGAACTTGGGAAATGATTGGGCATATTTACAGATGAATAAGGGCAATGTTCCACTACACTGGTGCCAATGTTCCCTCTTATTTTTTTCAATCTATGTTTGGAATGAATTTTTTCATGTGCAATAGTACCAATTCAATGTGTGAATATGCTCTACCAGTTGTTTTTTTTTTGGGGGGGGAGTATTTTTAGACCATCGAACCTATTGGATCATTAGGCCGCTTTGCAATGATACCAGTTGGTTATTTGGGCTTTAGGCCTATCATTATGGGCATCAATACATTGAGACTCCTCACCATTACCGAGGATGGGCACAGCTTGAATAACGAAGTACGCAGAACTTGACTGGTTGTCATGCAGCCACGCACCTTAGAGGGAATACTGATTGGCACTGACTTGAATTGGAAATAATACTGAGGAAACCAAAAGTAACTCAACATTTATGAACCAAATGTGTAGAATAATCATAACCAAAAAAGCATAAACATAAATAATCCACTAATATATTCATAGTCTGCCAAAATATGTTGATCAATCAGGGCCAACAAAACATTAATAAAATCCTTATACACCCATTTTGACCCAGATACATTTGTTGGCAGTTATTCCTTCATACAACACTAAATAATGTAACAGATCCCTTCTGAATCCATTGTTTGATCCAAATGTGTTTATCATGGGGCTTCCATAGTCAAATAACCAATAAGGTCTCAATTAAAGGAGAAGCTTCCAATACAGTTAATAAGCCACATGGTGGGTACATGATGAATTGATGGTAACTATGATGCAAGTACTCAAGTTTAGCTTCATTCACAGGTGATGGTATAGAATAAAATTACAAATGTGTCACTGGATTCAGGTTCCTAACATCAAAGACCAAAATAACCAAGAGAATGTAGCCTAATTATATTTACTGATATAAATCCGTGTGATAGAAAAAATCCTGTATAAGATAAGAAATTTCCAATTAATAATAGAAAATTCAAGCACACTGATATATTAAAACAGGTGAAATTCATACTATGTTGGGAAGCACACAAAACATTAAAACACCAAATACATAGACTTACTACTAGTTATTGTGAAAGTTTCATTTTCCTTTTTCATCGATTTGATATTCAATAAATCATCCTGCTTCTCATCAGAAAAGGGTTCTACTTTCATCTTTAATATTTCCATGATTACATAAAAGCTTCACCTATATATTCTGTAAAAAAGTTTTCAGTTAGACTACAGAGAAATAAGTTAAGAAATAGTCACATCCTTCATAAATCTTACAAAATTAAATAAATACTATTCTCAAAATTCACATTACCTTGATAACTTTCATATCAAATTATAAGCTTCATCTTTTTCACATATTTATATTAAAACAATGACATTATCTTAAATAAAGTAACTAATAGAAAATAACAATATTTAGAGACAACAGTGGACCTATTGATCCATCTTGGGTCATCTAAACTAAACTAAAATTATTATAAATTAAAGAAAAATCTTAAAGCCAGTCCTTATCATTCATTTAGTTATCAAGCTCTCTCTTAAACGCACTTAAATTTAATGCCTCTACAACATCTGAAGGCAACCCATTGCACATGCCAACCACCCTGTTAGAAAAATAAAATTGTCTCAGCTGAATTGTCTCACAATTAAGTATGAAAAAAAGATGATGCATCAACACTATCAATTCCCTTTACAATATTAAACACCTCAATCAGATCCCCTCTAACTCTTCTTTTTTTTCAAAAGAAAACAATTTCAAAG